CGGCGGGGGGAGGCCCTCCCGGGTGCACACGCCCGGCGGTAGGACAGGGCTTGAGCCGAGGCTCCGAGACCGCCCAGTGTCGCGAGACCTCGCTGCAGAAGGCTGCCTCTCGGGAAAGCTAGACTACGCCGCCAGTTTCGCTGAGGAAAAGCAGAGGAACAATCGGTCCCCCTCAGGCTTGCAGACGGCCAGCGCCGCGACTGTCCGAGCGATGATTGGTTGCACCTTCGCGGGCGGAGAGGTATTGGCGGGAGATTCGGCCGCGCGCTCCGAGCGCCCGGGAAGAGAGGGGCAACCGATCCTTCTATTGGTCCGTCTGAGTCGGCGTTTCCCTGATTGGTCCGCCCATCGGAGACGCGCCTCTGATTAGCTCGGCCATAGGGGCGTGTCACCGCCCTGACTGAAGCCCGGAAGGTACGGCCTCTTGGATGTAATTGGCTTTGCCGCGCAGCGGAAGCCACAGATCTGGGCTCGAGGACTATAGTTTTTTGAGTTGTTTTGTTTTTGACAGTATTAGGGATTGACTCTCATGGCTTTCTCCCTGAGCTATATCCCCAGCCTTTTCTTTTTTTTTTCGGTACCGGGAATCTTTGCGCTTGCCAAGCAGGCAGTGGAACCACTGAGCTAAATCCCCGGGCCCCCCAGCCTTTTCTTTATTTTTGAGACAGGATCTCGTTAAGTTGCCCAGGCTAGGCTGGAATTAGGGATCGGCCGCCTCGGCCTGGATGATGGCGAGCGCCAGCACCTCGCCCGGCTAGTCGGTCACTTTTTTTTTTTTTTTTGGTACCGGGGATCGAAGTCGGGTCCTTGGCGCTTGTGAAGCAGGCGCCGGAACCACTGAGCTAGATTTTTGGTACCAGGGATCGAACTCGGGTCCTTGCGCTTGTGAGGTAGGCGCCGAAACCACTGAGCTAAATCCCCGGCCCTAGTTGGTCGCTTTAAACCAGTAAAAAAGCTTTGGAGTCACCTAAGACAGCCAAAAATGGCCAGTACATGGGGTATTCTCAGTCGCACACCTGCCACCACTGACTTGCTTGTATCCCAGGCTCACGACTCAGTACTCGCTTTAGGGACTCGGTCACACGCTGCGTGAAGCCGTGGTTGAATCCCAGGCATGGACCCCAGATACCACGGGTCTTGTCCTCTGCCGTGGTCCCAGGGTGGGAACCGACTCCTGCACAGGGCATTACAAGAGGATGCGGCAGAGGACCAGTGGGGCTGACAAAGAGCCTGCACCCAGGGCTTGAGGGCTGGGCTTTGGCACTGGCACCGTTTCTGAACCAGCTCAGTACCCCAGTCCATTGCCTCAAATGTTGCAAAGGCTTGGTTTCAGGTGAAACAATGTACAACGCTTAGGAGTAATCTTTTATTAAATACTGTATTGTTTAGCTACACTTTTATTTACAAAACTAATTTAAATTATGGGAAAGCTAACCCCAATCCACCCAGCCACTCCCAACAGTGCTGGCTTGGGAACTCCCACAGCACTGCCCAGGCATCCCCACCCTACAGAGCTGCTCTAGCTTTACCCAGCTTGCCTAGGGCCAGGTGCAGCTGAGAGTCAGACAGGCTGGGCGCACCTGGACCTGCAGAAAAGAGCCAGGTTTCAGGGGTCAGGGCCACAGTGTGAGGCCCCTCCAGCAGCCTCACCTGTCACAGCTGTGCCTGGGGCCTCCCACCTGCACCATATGGAGCTGGCAGGGTGCCCCTCAAGAGGTCTGATCACTGAGTACATCCTCTCCTAAGCAGCTAGGCAGACCTAGCTGGGACCTGGCTGTGCTGTCCCAGTGGACATGGTTCTGGGTGCTACTGTAGCACCCCAGGTCTTGACCCAGCAACACCCTCACCCTTCACCCCACCCGTGCCCCCAGCCAGGTGTCTAAAGCCGGGCCTTCTTTGGCCTGTGGGAGCAGGAAAAGGCACCAAGAGCACAATGAAGACCTCCAGGCACTGGGCGGGCCCCATGAAGGTTCAGGAACCACCTGACCTGTCCCCAGATTGCTACACCTGCTTCCTGGTCCAGGAATGGCCCCGCAATTGCCTGCAGCCACCAGGAAGCCCCGGGATGGGCCAGCACATAAGAATGGCACCCCATTCTCCCCTCTACTACCAGGCTCCACCCCAGGTCCTCCTAGCAGCCTCTGTGGCTTGGGAGGGGTCCCACAATACAGGGGCAGTAAGCAGCCAGCACTAAAACAGCAGCTGAAGAGCAGGCCTGGGTCAGATGTGGGTCTGGCTTATGAATGAGCAGGTATGCTCCAAAAAGTTAAGGCAGAGTGACCAGGTGAAGGCTGTGGGGTCTGACCTGGGATCTTAGGCCCTGGAGAGCTCAATGTGGAGCACTTGCCCCACCTAGAGGCAAATGGGGGAAAGAGAAGGTGCCAAATTCGGCCCTGGGAACAGGGGTCTCTGTGAGAATTTCTCCTAAACAGAAGTCCTCTACCTACTGCAGGCTCGAGGCAGAGTAGCTACAGGTGATGTGCTTGGCATCAAGCCTTTGGCAGGGGCAGGACACTGGCTTCTCTTGAAAGCAGATGGCTGGGGACAGAGCCAGGCTCAGACCCCAGAGGCCCCACCAACATGCACAGCAACTGTCAGCGCACAGTGCACACATCCAGGATGCAGAAGCGCGCACGGCAGGTGGGGCAGGGCACACGGCTGGCCAGCCAGGTGTCAGGACGCTGGGGGTCCTGGCGGCTGGCGAACCACTTGCCCATGCAGGTGAGACACCACATGGGGCGACAGTAGCACTGCTGGCACTCCCCTGCAGCCGGCTCCTGGCAGGTCTTCACCAGCTTCACACTGGCACGCATCTGCATGCAGCCAATGCAGGGCTCCAGCTCCTGCAGGGGGCACAAGAGTCACAGGAGCCCAGCAAGATAGGCCCAGGGGAGCCCGCCCCACCCCTCAGGCCTGGCCCCACCTGGCTGCTGGGCACCGAGTAGGCCGGGTTGACCTCCACCAGGGAGGCAAATGTCTCCAGGAACAAGTCGCCCAGGCTCTGGTGGATGACCACGTTGGCAGCACTACGGATGGGGGTCTGGAGCTTCTCGCACAGCTCACCATACTCTGTGGAGTTCAGCCTGTGGGAGGTGCAGCCTGTGGGCCCTCGACCCGGGGCCCCGAAGAAGTACCCAGAGCAGTGGCCAGCAAAGATGCCCACAGAACCCATGGTCACTCCACCCTGAGGGACAAGAAAAGCTGGGAGCCAAGGTGTCACCTAGCCATAACCCTGAGCCATCCTAGCCCACATCCTAGGAAGGTGCGGGGGCAGCTCAGGGGGAGCAGGAGGGATGCCATGGGTGGAAGAGAGGCAGCAATGGCCCCAAGGGAAGGTGTCACACAGGCCCCAGTGGGGGATGGAGGCCACAGAGTGCTTACCGGATATCAAAGGCCTGCACAGCAGGGCTGATGCTAGCCACATGGATGGTGAGGAGCTGCACGGGTAGGTTTGAGTCTGGTGAGAGCTCGTGCTGCCGAGACTCTGTCACAGTCAGGTGCACATCCTGTTGCTGGGCCACATGCACACGGTATGTGGTCACCTTCATCACCCACGTGTCTGTCACGATTACACGGGCACCTGGTGCCCCAGTAGCAAACTTGTCAATACGCCGGAACTCAGTGTTGATAGAGGAAGCAACAGCCCGCCAGCCCGACTGAGGGAGGGCGTAGAGGGCCAGGGTGCAGGCCAGTGGGTGGTTGGCCCACTGGTTCCGGGACCAGTAGTAGATTAGAGTGCAGGTAGCAGAGGGGAGTGTCACAGCCAGCAGGAGGAAGAGCTGCCAGGCCTCTGAGGCCTGGCTGGGAGAGTAGAGCTGCTTTTCTGAGGCTGCAAAGCACATGCCCACATAGTATCCTGCAAAAAAGAGGGCACCTCAGAAAAGCTGCGAGGGGCCGTGCTCCCTCTGTAGTGGCCATCTCTGGGCTGAGAGAAGGGAAAAGCCACTTCCTGTCTTGCCCTGAGCCTGGTCCTCTTTCCTGGTTATCTCCCAAGGCATGGAGCTTCACCACCCCTGTACCTTTATACCAGGCCTGGCCCAGCCAGTTACCACAGCACTGGTACCATGTATTAGGAGGAAACATTTTCAACTTAATTTTATATAACACATAAACAATGAAAAAAAAAAACCCCAAAACTTAGAAATGTAAACTAAAAACACCTATAACTACCTGGTATCACTTTATATGGAGCTGCCCCCTGAAGACCAGATAAGGAACAACTTGAATGTCAAAATGACTCATAGTGAGGGACTGCATAGGCAGGGTGCAGTTTGCAAAATATGATAGTAAATGCTTGTTTCTAGCCAAATCACTACATATTAAGATAACTTGTCACGAGGCAATGTAACTAGTATGTCTATAAAACTTGAAAGTTTTCAAAAGTTAAAAACAAGATGGTGTGGATTGGGACCTAAGACTGGCTCTACTATCTGCTCTGGCATCCAGGAATGGCTGTGTTCCCCAAGTTTGGGTTTCCCATTTGTGCAATGAGGAGCCCATGGCAAGAGTGCTTCCATCCCATATCTGCCTCCAGCTCTGCAGTGTGCAGGCTGCTGTACCCTCGAGCCAACACTTCCAGGGTCCACGGAGCTACTGATATGACAAGACACTTGTCATATGTCCTCTCAGTCACAACCTTCTCTGCCTGTCAGAGGCTTCCCATCTCTGGCTACTGCCAGGTCCCAATACTACCCTCAGTCCACTGTCCAGCCAGCTCACAGACCTACCTCCCTGAATTTCCCCCCAGGCTCCCGGGATACCGCCCAGCACTACCCTGGTCAGCCCCAGAGAGACCTGACCTGGCAATGAGGCCTGTGCACCTGTCACCCCCAAACTTAAAACCGCCCATCTCTCCTGCTCCCCTCATCCTACCATCCACGGCAACTCCGCCCTCTCATCCCACACAGACACGCACACACGGCATCCACAGCGCACCCCAGTGTCTAGCCACTGGGCAGGAGCGTTTCTTTCCCTTACAAGCCCGGTAGAGGAAAGGCCCCACGCTCCTGCCCGCTCAGCCTGGGCTTGCACTAGGTTCACGCTCCCTCAGGTGGCCCGGCCTCCTTTCCCACGCACTGATGACTTTGGGGCCCCGTCCCAGCAGGGGAGATGGCCGCAGCCGCCTCCTGTGCGCCTCAGTTACCCTGGGGTCTCGGACTGCGCCTGGCTTGACGCCGACCTCAAGCCCACACCGGAAGCTCACCGAGCGGCAGCAGCGAATGGCACAGCAGTGTAGCGGCCGTGCGACGCAGGTGGTACGGCACGAAGGCGGCGTCCTCGCTGCCCAGCCAGCCCGACAGCAGGTTTTGCACCGTGAGCCCGGCCGAGTGGAACTCGTTGGGCGTAAACACGAAGCATACGGCGAACACCAGGTAGGCCAGCGTAAAGGTCACCTCCGGGCTGTCCATTGTGCCACCGTCCCCAGAGCAGGTAAGAAGCCTACACGTCCTGTTCCGGGAGGTCGGCAGGTTGTGGTCATTGCCGTTGCCGTTGCCTGTGGTACCCGCGTCGCCCCCAGGCCACTAGCGGGGCACCCCGGGAGACCGAGTCGCTAGCGAGCCGCCCGCGAAGCACCCTGGGAGATCGAGTCGTCTCTGCCCGGTCGCCCACAGAGCACTCTGGGAGATGTCCGCCCGCAGGACTCTGGGAGACCGAGTCTCCACCCGGGCAGCCTGCGAGGCACTCTGGGAGAAGACCTCTAGGCTCCCCCCGGCACACTGTGGGCAGCAGCGATTTCCACCAAGGTGCAAGTTTGTCACGAGCAACCCTGTAGGGGGCGCTAAACCTGGTTTCGTTTCCCAGGTGAGAAAATTTAGGCTCTATTAAGCGGGTCTTTGGCCCCGGCTACAATTCACAACACACTCGCGTTCGCCGCACAGCCCGAAATTCCTACGGTGATGACAGGCTTCACAACCACTACTCACCCGAGCAGCCGAGAACACTACTGAGTGCTCACTGCTCCTAGATTGCCCCCCGCCCGGAAGCGGAACTGTTGGTGCGTGAGGAGGCGGGATCTGCACGACGCGGCCTTCTATTGGTCCCAGGCGCTCTACTGTCCCGCCCCCTGCCCCGGGCTGATTGGCCGCGCGGCGCCAACGGTCTGTATTTGAATTCTTGGGCGCGGCGGGAGGCGTCGCACGCTGCGAAAGAGGTTCAGCTTTCTTCGGTTTAGTCTCCCTGAGCCGCTCTCTTCTTCCCTCGCGGCGGGCGGCGGTGCGGGCCCACAGCCTTCTATTGGTCCCAGGCGCTCTACTGTCCCGCCCCCTGCCCCGGGCTGATTGGCCGCGCGGCGCCAACGGTCTGTATTTGAATTCTTGGGCGCGGCGGGAGGCGTCGCACGCTGCGAAAGAGGTTCAGCTTTCTTCGGTTTAGTCTCCCTGAGCCGCTCTCTTCTTCCCTCGCGGCGGGCGGCGGTGCGGGCCCACAGAGCATTCCCTCGACATTTCCAAACATTGTATTTCCATTTTCTCATTTTCTCCCGTTTTCTTTCCTTCCCAATGTGTTCTCTGCCCTGCACTTCCCCCTATTCCTACACCTGAAGACCTTTTCTTCCTATTTCACATTCTCAATTTTCTCATTAAGATTTTGTGTACTAGTATAGTTTATTCACACCAGAGAAACTATTCGGTATTTGCACATGTGTGATTTATTTATTTCCCTTACGAGTATATCCCATTCAGGGACATTTGGCAGGGCAAGCCAGCGGCCTGGCCGCGCCCTCCGCGCTGGTCCCCGGCTGGGACGTACTCTCTGCTTTCCTGGGTTTCTGTCAGAGCACGGGACTCGTCTGCCCCATCTCTGTGCTACTTCTTTTTCTCCATCCCCTTCTCGGGCTTTTGCCTCTGACCCAGGGACACTTTCTTGCTTCCTGGTCCTCTGTCAGCCTCAGTCCGCTTCCTGACAGGCCTGGCCCCAGCCTCGACCTGGTGACTTCACTTGGAAACGCTTTCTTCTGCTTCCCAGCGGGCAGGCTCCTACCTGCCAGTTCGTCTCTCTCTTCCAGCACCCTCCTCCAGCGAGAAAATGCACCAGGGTCCCACAGAGCCCAAGCTACGGCGTCTTGTCCTTGTCAACGCTAGCCACTTAGCGACCTCTTGCTTCAAGTCCCACCTGTGGACTGACTGCAGTCCTGAGAGCTTGATCTTAAACATCTGCCAATCCACCAGGCCTCCCAGGCAACTTAGGCAGGATCCCTACCCAACACAACTTCTGCCTGCAGAGGGCATGGAAACCCAAACCTAGCTTGTTGCTCCTCTGCTCAGCCAGCTCCAGGGGTTCCCATCTCAAGAGTTGGGTTTGCCACTGTCCCATCATCCCGCCACAAGGTCTTCCTCTAATCCATTTACTAGACTTTTCTGGGGATTGAACTCTGAACGTGTGTTTATGAGGCAGGCGGCAGCACCACTGAGCTAAATCCCCAGCCCTCTAATCCATTTATTCTGGAGACCTAGGCTTGTGCCTCCCACAGCCACGAAATGCCCTCTCCCCATCCCTGCCTCTAACCAGGCTTCTAAGAGCTGAAAACCTACCATTGCCAGTGACTCCTATTTTCCCACTTGGCAAAGATAATATGTTCAAGCCATGTCCAAGGCCTCCTCCCCTGGCTGCAGGAGATTGCTTTCATTCCTTTTCCTCCTCTGTCCCTGTCTGTGCATTTATCACCAAAACGGGCTTCTCAAATCAAATCAGCCACAGCCCCTCACTGTGTTGACACCCATCTCTCCTGGCCAGCAAGGTGGGTGCAGATGGACTGAGTCCTGCTGTCCTATGGTCTTGGCCTCAGCTGCCCTTCATGCTGGACTTACAGAGCACCTGTGGAGCTTGAGTTCCTTCTGGCTCTTTGGTTCTTTTCTAAGCCAGGGTTTCCTCTTCCCCCACCCGCCCCATAGCAGGATGCCACAGTAGGAGTCCTTTGCAACACTGGTTCTCTCTGCTTAGCCTGACCCCATGTAGCTGTTGGCCCAGAAGGTGGTAGTGCTGCCTTCTGAAGCAGGACAACATTTACCCCAGGCTTTCCAGCCCCGCCTGCAGGGAACACCTGTTCAGGAAGGAGACATCTCACTGCGTCACTGTGGGGACTCCATTTATCGTTGTGTTTGCCTAGACAACACAGTGTCATTGCCCTCACACTGACACAAATGTCTTCTGCTTTTCTAGAATGAGTCTGCAGGTCTTAAATGACGAAAATGTCACCCATGAAAAAAGTGCAGAAAACTGTGACTTCCTGTTTTCACCACAACCCCGTACCGGAAGAACATCTGTTCTTGGTCTGTCACAGAAGGAAAATGTACCACCCAAGAACCCGGCCAAAGCCACCAAGGTAAAAATAGACTCTGGTGTGTGCTCTCCAGGGGCTCTGTGCTGCTGCCAGTATGGTTGTGAACAGGTGCTCTGTCCTCACCCTCTACAGGTGACTTTTCAGACACCTCTGCGGGATCCACAGACACACAAGATCCTAAGTCCCAATATGACCAGCAAACTTGAGACTTTTCTTGCTCTGGATGACAACGTTGAGTTAGAAAACTCTCACTACACTTGGATACAGAAAGAGACGTAAGTGTTGGTGCCATTTCTCTTTCTCCTGATCTCTGCTCTGGGTGCACGCAGGGCACGGCCCGTGTGTCATTAGAAAGTTAAATCATCAGACCCTTAGTAAATTTTAGTCGAACTCCTTTGCTGTCCCCTTGCCAGTGGATCTTTGTTTCTGTAACTTGACAGAACATCCTGACCTCATATCCAGAAAGATAATCTGCAGTTTCCTTCTCTTGCATTTCTCTCATATCTCCCTTTGCTTGACAATGCTTGCCTTTCTACAGTCGGTGCTTGGAGAGAGCAGATAAGACATGTAGACAGAGAAACTCATGTAACCCTCAATCAGAGCACATGTGGCCCAAGGGAAGGGGAGGAAGCACTTGCCCACTATAGGAGAAGCCCCTGGATGGACACACTGGGCACAGGGCAGGCTGGGGAAGGCTGGGTTCTGCAGATGTCCACGTGGCCTGCTGGGATGATGGACAGATGCTGAGTCTTTGCCAGAAGGTAGTGCTCACCAGGAATGCAACTATGTCCAGAACAAGGAAGGACTTCACTAGTGTGATTTGGTGGCAGGTGGAGGGGTATGGTAGTGGTGCCAGGAATCGAACTCAGGACCTTGCTCTTGCAAGGCAGGCGTGCCCCTGAGCTAAATCCTCATCCCCCTGAAAGGTTTCTTGACCTCAGCTTTCCTCTTCTCAGTGAAAAGCCAGACCCTCATGAATTCTGGCTCTTCTGGCCATGAAGCTCTGGGCCCAGGATAGTGGGACCGTGGCTCCATTAGAAGACCTTGGTGCACAGCTGGCTTATTACCTCTGTGTTCTGTGTCTCAGAGCCCACTTGTCCCCAGTGCCACTACACTGATCTTCAGGACTGTGCCTCTTCACGTGTGGGCCAGAGGGCAAGACTGACTGGATGTGCTCATTTTCTCTCTGTCACTCCTATCTCCACATGGACTAGAGTCTTACTGAACGGCCTGTGGGTCCCTTAGTGTTAACTAAGTCTATTATTAAAAAGCCAACAGCTCCCCAAGGATATGGATACCAAGTTACACAATGGAATTCTCCAGAAACCATCTGTGGCTGATGCTGGCCTTTCTCCAGGGGACGCCACCTCGACCTCTGAAGATGACAGCTGCAGCAAGCCTAGCCCAGTGCACCTGGCTGACCCAAGTGTGCCACGTTCTCCCCAGAGCACAGGAAGTCCTGAAAATCAGATGTCTCCAGGACAAATGTCTGGGAGCGCTGACCAGGCCTTGAAGAATAGTGTTAGTTCTTATTCTTCAGCTGAAAGCATACCCCCCATCACTGAGGTCCTTGAAGATCTTCCAGCACCCCAACACCAAGTAGGCGTTCCTGCAGCCCTAGGAGAGAGCCCCTCCACCTCTGCCTTGGCCCAGGCTGCTGTTGCTAGAGGCCCAGGTTCAGGCACAACCCCCACAGACCTGCCCTGCCCTCAGAACAGAGCCCTGGCCAGCCCAGATCGCCATAGAGAGGAAGCTGCCAGCCAAAGAGCCATTGATTTGAGGTGTGATCCCATAAAGCTAGAGTTTGACTTCTCCGAAGGGGCAACCAGCAAAAGGGCAGCTCCACCACAGAGACAAGGAAAGAGGGCCAAGGAGAGGCAGCCAGAGGCTCCCAAGAAGGCAGAAAATGGAGATAGGGCCATAGGGGCAGGTGAGACCCCTGCACTGGCTTCCCGGGGCTGCTACCACCTGGACTGGGACAAGCTGGATGACCCAAACTTCAACCCCTTCGGAGGTGGCTCTGTGATGGCCAGCAATGAAGCCCAGCCCCCTGAAAGCCCCAGGGCCAGGTTGGCAACACCTGCAGTGGATGCAACGCCACCTGCAGAGGACTCGTCTCCCAGCCAGTAAGTGCAGTGGGCAGATGACCATGTCAGGGATCAGGGCCCCACTGAGCAGGGGCTTTGGGCAGGCAGGTTCAAGAGACCCCCAGCTCTGGGCCACCCAGACACAGACGTGGGAGGACTCAAGATTGCCTCCCTAGGGAACCTGACTGTCAGGTCAACGTGAACCATTCGTTCTTGTGTACTTTCTAGCACGAGCTCTGCCTTGAGGGACCAGTGCAGGTGTGGGGGGGCGGTGCAGCTAGGTGCTGGGCTGCAGGGCATGAGGGATGGCATGCAGTCCTCTGCTGCCTCTCTTTCCAGGCAGCTATACTTGGCCCCAGAAGGTAATAGGCCTGAGGTGCAGACGGCGGCCGGTACCCTGAGCACAGAGGGCAAGGTACAGGTGTGTATGTGAGCATGGTGTGTCCCCCACTGGTACCAGTGTCTTCCTATGGTACAGGAAAGAATCTGGGTGGGATGGACTACGGTCTCCTCCTCCCCTAGATCCCTGCTGGGGTCTTGACAGCAAGGAGTGATATTGACCTCCCTCCAGGCAGGAACCTTGAGCTCCTCCGATGCCTCAGCTCCCACATGTGGCCTGGATCGTGTGCTGCCGGCCCCTTCCCAGCCCACCCCACAGCCTATCCTGAACCTGGAGGAGGAGAGCTTCAGAGACCCTGCTGAGGGTGCGTAGCCTGAGTGTTGGCTCAGTCCCGTGGGCAACTGTTCTGTTGCTTGGATCACCTACATTGTTTGCGATGACTGACCTCCAGGCTGCTCTGTTCCCTGACTTTAAATGGACCTAAACATAAGCATCTGCCCTCAGAATGGGCCTTCTGGGATTCTAGAAGTAGAAATGAATGGCATGGAAAAGTAGGTGAAAGGGCTAGGGAAGTGGCTCAGGAACAGAGCACTTTCCTTACATGTAGGAAGCCCAGCACCACAAAACAGAAAGGAAAAAGAAACACAGGTTAAAAAAACAAGTTAGCTAGGCAATGCACATGTGAGATACAGACGCTCGATAAACTGTTGGGCACCCACTAGTGATCAAAGAAATACAGCTTAGAGTGCATGTAGTGACAGCTTGTGACTAAACTAAAGGACATCCGTTTTGGTTGCTTAACCCACAGTCTGCCAGGCATAGTGGCACGTACCAGTAATCCCAGCACTCTGGGAAGCTGAGGTAGGAAGGTGACAGGTTTGAGCCTAGCTTGGGCAACTTGGTGACGGCAAGACCCTGTCTCAAAATCTTTTAAAAAAAAAAAAAAAAAAAAAGGGCTGCATCTGTAGCTCAGTGTGCAGCCCTGGATTCCATCCCCAGAATCGCCAGGACCCCACAGTCATCAGGAAGACTGGCAGTAGATAGAGTGTGTGTCTCTGACACTGGCATCTTGGTCCTGCCGCATGGGGTTGAGCTCAGCTGAGGCAGGCCTGGCACCCCACCTGGGCCCTGGAGTCCGTCACACAGGACAGCCTTGGTGTCTGTGCTTCCTCAATGCATCATATCCAGGCCTGGCTGTGCCGTGGCAACTATCCGTGTGCCGTTTGGTTTGTGGCCCTGCTTAGCTGTTACAGGCAGTGCTGCTGTGAACACGTGGGCACAAGTTTGTGTGTGGACTCTAGTTCCTCCGGGTATAGACCCAGGAGTGGAATCTCTGGATCTGTCACCAGTTTAATTCTGAGGAACTGCCAGACTGTCTTCCAAATACCTGTACCATTTTATGTCCCCACCAGCAGTGGTGAGGGCTGCACTTCCTCCACGTCATGACTTCCACCTAGGAAGTGTGGAGCAGTGTCTGGCTGTGATCTACGTTTCCTTGATGGCTGAGGAGGAACAGCTTTTGAGTATTTCATGTGCTGTTGGCCACTTTTTTTTTTTTTTTTTTTTTTTTTTTTTGTACTGGGATCAAACTCAGGACCTTGTGCTTGCAAAGCAGGCAGCAGCACCACTGAGCTAAATCCCCAGCCCTGTTGGCCACTTGGCCACTTGTGATCTAGACAAATACCTACTCAAGTCCTTTGCCTGTTGTTTTGTTTTGTTTTGTTGTTTTGTTTTTGTTTTTGAGACAGGGTCACACTGCGTAGTGTGACCTGGAACTCACTATATAGCCCAGGCTGATCTCAAACTCACAGCGATCCTCCTGCCTCAGCCTCCCGAGTGCTGGGATTGCAGGCGTGCGCCACCATGCCCGGCTTTTGCCTGTTTTTTAAAGTTATCTTTTTAGTGCTCATTTGTACAGAAACAAACCTCTTAGCAGCCATATGAGCTGAATACACAGTTGGTCTCCTTGGATTCAGTCAGCCTTAGGTAAGAGGCCTCCACCCCCTCAATACTGGTGTTTGAATACTGGGCTTTTGCACTGAGCTACCTTTCCAGCTACTTTTTATTTTTTATTTTGAGACAGGGTCTCAAATTAGCCAGGCTGAACTCAAACTTGCAATCCTCCTGCCTCGGCTTCCCAGTATAGCTGGAATTTCAGGTGTGCGCCATTGTATCCAACTCAGGAAACATTTTAAAACTTGTTTCTACTGAAAGAGTGAGGGTGGAGAGGAGGGGTCTGACCCCGGTGTGGCTCCCCCGGGCTGGGAAAGCTCTCCACACCTGCATCCCTAGAAAACTATGATCCACCCTGCCATTTCCCACTCTGGGAACTGGTGGTGTGGAGCTGTCCAGCCCACGTCCTGGAGAGATGGCCCTGACACAACTTGGTCCCTCTCAGTTCTAGGCACCGGCGCGGAGGTGGATTATCTGGAGCAGTTTGGGACATCCTCGGTAGGTACCAGGCTCTTGCAGAAGTGCCCTGGCACATGCGCAGCCTGCTGTTCCTGCAGCTGCTGGTCTCAGTGACACCTGTGGTCCTGGTTGAATCCCAGCAGGGGTGCCTCCAGGCAGAGCTGTGGGCACCAGCTCCTTACCCCACAGGGACAGCCATGCAGCTGCTGACCTGCCCTGTCCTCCCAGTTTAAGGAGTCAGCCTGGAGGAAGCAGTCCTTGTACCTGAAATTTGACCCTCTCTTGAAGGACAGCCCTCTGCGACCGGTGCCTATGGTCCCAGCGACAGACAGGTACATAGGCAGGTGCCTGCCATTAGGCACTTGCGTGATCAGACTTCTCACACTGGGTCACAGTGACAGGTGGGTGGGAGAGGGAGCTTGGGACTGCCCTCATGTAGCCACAGGATCCCTGCAGTTGGGCCCTGCCTTGCTTGTCCTGCTTGCCACCCACTTCCCAAGGTGGATGAAAGCTCCAGTTGCAGATGTAGATGCTGTTGTCAGGTCAGCAGATCACAACCTCACCCTGCCCTGTTTGGGCTAAGACCTACTCTGGGAGAGACCAAGCAATGTACTATAGTCCAGGCCTGTAAACCCAGCGTGGAGGCTGAGGCAAGAGGATCATGAGTTCAAGGCCAGCCTAGACCACATAGTTCAAGATTGGCCTGAACTACATAGTGAGACCCTGTCTTTAAAGGAAAAAGAAAAAGCTTGGTTAGTACTGGATATGGCATTATGTGCCTGTAGTCCCAGCTACTCAGGAGGCTGAGGTGAGAGATTTTGTGAGCTCAGAGTTAGCCTGAGCAATGTGGTAAGACCTCATTCTCCCTAAAAAAAAAGATGTAGCTCGGGCCGGGGATTTAGCTCAATGCCGCCACCTGCTTCACAAGCTCAAGGACCCAAGTTTGATCCCTTGGTGCCAAAAACAAATTGTGGCTCGGTGGTAGAGCACTCACCTAGCACGTCCTGCTCAGTCTGGCAAGGGTGTGACATGACTGGCTACTGTTTGGTCCCAGTGTGCAGAGTACAGATGAGCCTCCCTCAGAGAACCCACCAGAAGCCAAACTTGTGGAGCTGGATTTCCTGGGTGCACTGGATGTTCCTGTGAGTACTTCCATCTCGAGTGGTCATCTTGTGGTCTGAGGAGATGCAGGTAGTTTTGAGGTGCCTTGCAGTCATGAGGGGTCTGCATCCTTCAGGTCAGGCAAGGGGCCCCAGCCACTGGCTGGCTGCCCCACTTCCAGCAGGGTGCCCATGGTCAATCCCTCCCCAAGCCACCCACCATGAAGGCTCTGCTTGTGTGCGGGCCTGGCCCCAACTCCTGCTGGCCAGGCAAGCTACTCTTCCCTGGTACACTTGGACATGGCAGTGGCTCAGTGTCTGTTACCCCCAGGTGCTGGGCCCACCCCTGAGTGTATTGGAACCTGGTGGCATGCCCCCACCCACCCAGCCTGTCCCCATCGTGGATGTGCTACAGTATAGCCAGAGCGACCTGGATGCGGCGGTAAGGACACAGGTGCCCCAGAGAGTGGGTACTGGTAGCTGGGCTCAAGGCTCTGAGCACAAGGTCCAGCACCCCCAGCCCTGACAGCATCCCTGCCCTTGCCACTTAATGTAGAGCCTCAGGTATCCACTTCCTCTTCTCTCCTGACCCCAACCTGGCCCTGCCTCCAGGAGCTAAGGATCCCAGCTCCCCCGGTGGCCTAGTGGCAGCCACTCACCAAATAAAACCATCACCCTGCCTAAGGAGAGAGGACCTGGACTTGGGAGAGAGAATTCTCACCTGCATCTCTCCTGGGGCCACAGCCCTTGATCCTTGGTCCCCATGGCCATACTCCGACCTCTGGAACACGTGGAGGCCCAGCCTGTTCTAGCTCAGGCTGAGTCACTAATGAGAACTTGTGACAGGCTGGCCCTGCTTGCCTGGTGGTCACTATGCAGGGAGAGCTGGTCACAAGGCTGGCTCGGGCCCTGGGCCTGCTCCATGTGGCTGTAACCTCTGGGGCTATGTGGCCTCCAGCTGTGCTATTCACCTTGACCAGATGCATCCAGGCTGCTGTAGGCAGTTGGGCAGGAGTTCCCCATGTCCCCACCTGTCTTGGCCATGGGGTCACCCCAGGAGCCCAGCAGCAGCCCTCTGACCTTCAAGCCTGGCCTTCTCCTGAACACCCCACCCTTCTGTGGGCCCTGGAACCTGCCTGACCAGGGCCCCTGAGATTCGAGGATGGCTCCAAAGCTCTGGGTGCCACCCAAACGTGGGGCACCCCTGGATCTGACGGGTATGGGGCCCTGCAGATGAATGCAGCCCAGGAGGAGAACAAGGAACTGAGGCGCCGGTGCGAGGAGCTACAAAGAAAGAATCTGGAGATGGGGTAAGGCCCATGTGCGCCAGGTCTGCCCACTACGAGTCCTAGCCACTCACCAGGTCTGCCTGCCATGGATGCCCAGCATTCACCCTGCCCTCCCCTCCACAGGAAGATCATGGATGGCTTTGAGGGCATCGTGTACCAGGCGATGGGTGAGTGCTGGCCCTCACTCCCTGCCCCAGTGGTGTTAATGTAGCTGGCACCGTCGGGCCCAGAGCTGGCCACCAGGGCCATGGTCCCTCACACACGCCATCTTGCTTGCAGCGGGCTGTCTCAGACCACTTCCCAGTGTACTTCGCTCACTGCTCCCATTGAGACAGGGATGTATCCTGCCCTACTATCTGGGACCTCCCTGCGGGGCTGCCATGTACTAGGCCTGTGTCACTCACGAGTCACCTGATGGGGTCCACACCTGCCTGCCCGTGCCTCCCTCCCCTCAAGTTTGGTGGCTGCCCCTGATCGGAGCGCTTGCTCTTCTTAAGAGGATGCCCAGAAACAGAAGGAGCTCACCAGCGCTGAGATCCAGAGGGGCCTCACGGAGAGACAGCAGCTCACCGCAGACCTGCACTCCCTGGAGAAGTCTTTCTCTGACCTCTATAAGCGTTTTGAGAAGCAGAAGAAGGTGATTGAAGGCTACCAGAAGGTGCGTCGCATCCTTCTCCCCGTGCCTCCCTTCTCCAGTCAGGGAGTCCTGTGCACGGGCCAGGAGCAGGGCACACGGCACAGCCCACCAGGGATGAGCTTGGGAGGTCCTGGTGGGGGCAAAAGGGGAGGCCCAGGACGGCGAAGACTGACTCGGTGGAAGATGGCCTAGGCGACTAGCTGTGAACCAGGGAACTCCTCCTGCGGGAGAGGCCAGGGCACCCTGCTGTCAGCTGCCGGGCCCAGCCCTCCTGGCCCCAGGCCCCCTACAGCAGGTAACTGCAGCCAGGCATGAGGGGGCCATGCAGCACAGACAGGCCCCAGTCCCTGGGGAGGGCAGACCAGGCCGGACTATGTGTCACTGTTTATGCCCCAAAGCGCATCAAGGTCTCAGGGCCGGGGATTTAGTTCAGTGGTTCCGCCACTTGCCTCAAAAGTGCAAGGTCCTGAGTTCGATCCCTGGTACCCCCCCAAAAGAAAAGCCTTATGGTCTCTGGGGGAACCTCGCCCTGTTCATGGGTCCTGTCTGCCATTCCCACAGAACGAGGAATCACTGAAGAAGTGTGTGGAGGACTACATCACCAGGGTAGAGAAGGAGGCCCAGCGGTACCAGGCGCTGAAGGCCCACGCGGAGGAGAAGCTCAGGCTGTGAGTGCCAGTGAGGCCGAGGGAGCTGGGCCCTTCCTGGCCTCTGCTCAGCTTCCACCCTCCACCCTCCACCCTGCAGGGCGAATGAGGAGATCACCCAGGTTCGGAGCAAGGCCCAGGCAGAGGCACTGGCCTTCCAGGCAAACCTAAGGAAGACACAAATGCAGATTCACTCACTGGAGAAGACTGTGGAGCAGAAGGTGGGCTGGGGGCCCAGCTTCTTCCCCCTCTCTGTCTTGGGTTCCCTCTGAGCGTCCTGCAGAAACCCAGCCCTCCCTTTTCTCCTCAGACCAAGGAGAATGAGGAGCTGACCCGGATCTGTGACGACCTCATCTCCAAGATGGAGAAGATCTGACTGGAACTGTGGCCACAATGGCCCCTGCTGCTTCTCTGCCTGCCTGTCTGTCTGAATTTTCTTAGCTTTGTGTTCTCTTCATCTGTTTTTGAACTAGATTGTCTTAGGCTGGTGTGATAGTACACATTTGTAATCCCAGTACTTGGGAGGCTGAGGCAGGAGGATCACTAAGTCCATGGGCAGCCTGGGCTACACAGTTCAAGGCTAGCCTGAACTACATAGCAAGATCCTGTCTCAAAAATTTTTTAAAAATAAAAAAAGACCTAGATTGTCTTTAAAAAATGACTAAATAAAGTTCCTTAAATTCAGATTCCACAGCCATCCTGGTCTTGCTTACAATGAGGGTGTCCCAGCTGTGGGCTAAGAAGGAGCCAACCCATCGCCCTGTGCTGCACGGGCCCATGGCCATCCCTCCTGGCCCCAGCACTACCCCAAGCCTGCCTGACCTCACCCCCCTGTGGAGGGCTGGGGCACCCTGACCTGAGAGGCTCAAGTCCTGCCATTGGCCTGGGGTGTGGGACTCAGTTTCTGCCTTGGGACCCTAGGTCAGCAGCCACGCAGACACAGCTGTTCCCGAAGGGACCAGCTCCATCATCAGGGCACGGCCATGGGTTTGGTGTGGGCTGGCAGCCTGGCATGGGTAGAAATGTCTGCAGATGTGGTTGGTGACTCCTGCAGGTGGTGAGGTGCACAGGTCAGGTTTCCCTGAGGAAGAAGTGATTCTCAGGCGGAAGACCAGCACCCACCGCCCCACTTTGACATGGGAGGGACAACACCAAGAGCCGCACTCCGGACAACACAAGCCTCATGCCCCAGGGGCTTCCCAGATGTAGAACCCTGAAGGGTGTTGTGTCTCCAAGCCCAGGAGCAAGAAATACAGTCTCTAAGTCAGCAGTGGCCGGCTTCACAGATGGACCCCAACCCCAAGATACAGCCTCACAGGATGGGCCCTATGGTACCCTCTGGGAAGGCAGAGGCATCCTGGAACCCCTGCCACAGGACTTGACTCAGAACCTGGTGACAGCCCAGCCTGAGGACAGCCCCTGAGCCACTTCCCCTCAGTGAGGAGTGCCAGTCCCATCCAGGCCAGCCCCATGGCCCCAGAGGCCCCAGCCCTACCCAAAGGCTTGAACCTACTCCAGGCACTCCTTGCCAGCCCATAGGGGACCTGGGGCACGATGACCACCAGGGGGCACTGCTGGCCGTGGACCACTGGGGTGGGGTGCCAAGGAGCCCGTGGGCCACCAGGGAGGCCAAGGCCTGGGTGGGGTTCAGAGGTGTGGCTCCAGAGCCCCCACCCTGGCTCAGGGCAGCCAGTGGGTGTCCATAGACCCCTGGGGGTGGGGAATTTGTCTCAGCCCTGGTTTGGGCAGAAGGCCATGTGGCTGTGCCAGGCTTTACTGGGGTGGGGACTTGAGTCAGCCTCACAGGGAGCCGGGCAGCCACCCTGCCCCAGGCTTCAGGCCGATGTGCCCTCCCCACAGTCCCCAGGTCCCACCCCATTTGCCCTTCCCGATGGCTGGGACTGGCTGGCTGGTCCCCTGGGACCACCCCGCCCTTCCCCACTGGCACCCGCACCATACCCACACTCCCACCAGAAGCCTGGTGTTTGGGGACCTCCAGAGTCTGCCAGCCCACTTCCTGGGGCAGAGTGTGGGCTCCTCCCCACACATGGGGTGGTGGGCGAGAGTCTAGGCAAGACTTGAACTGCAGGAGGGCAGGCTGTCCACCCACTTGCCCTCCCCTGCCCACTGTGCCTCTGCAGGGCAAGGGGCTGCTCTGAAGAGGCCCAGAGGCAGCCGGGTCTCCCACTGGCTCTGCCTGCCTGGCCCTCCCAGCCCCTCCACGAGCTCCCAGTTCTATTCCCCACCGGGGCCTCTCAGAGCCATGCTGAGTCTGCCCAGAGCAGGCCTTGTGGGGTGGCTGGACGTGTTGGGGCAGCCGGCCTGGCCTGCAGCCGCGCCGAGGACACCGGCCACCGGGCAGTGTCCTGGCCAGAGCCTCTCTGCGGGACAAAGGGGCCTTGTGTGGCTGAATGGGTATTTATCCTGGAGCCGAGTTAACTCAGGCCGCACAGCCAGGCGGGGGCCTGGCACTGGCCCTCCGCGGGTAAACATGACCCCAGCTGGACACACAGTGGGGACCTACACTTCCGCAACCCTATGTCCCTGACATCTATGCAGTCGGTGCCCTGTGGGCTCGGTGCCAGGACACGACAAAAGCAGGAGTACCCCAAGCCACCTCCCAGTCCTCACTGCCAAGCGGCAGAGGGGAGGCCACCCTGTCCCAGTGCCTGGAAGGCCAGGACCCTCACGTGGGCTAGCCCAGCCTGCAGTGGAATCCCAGCCACTGATGGAATGTTTGAGACCCCAAAAATGTATGTGCTGACGTGCAAGCCCAAGGCAGCACCACATGCAGATGGGAGGGGTGGTCAGGGCCACGTGAGGTCACCGGAGGGACAAGGTGGGATGAGTGTCCAGTTAGAAAAAGATCATGAGGGCCAGGGATTTAGCTCAGTGGTTCCACCGCTGCTTGCCTTGCCAGCGCAGGGACCCGAGTTCAAAACTGATACCAAAAAAAAAAAAAAAAAAAAA